TTGAATGAATAAATTCAGCAGTATTGAACTTGCCTGTTTCTTTGTGATTGGCTTTGATGTGGCTTATGTTTAAAAATAATTAGAAAATGATTAGATAATTTTTATCCTGCATCATTTATGTACATTAAAAATTAATCAAATTATAGAAGAAAGTAATAATTTTTTAACATGAAATATCAATTTAAATGACAAACTTGTCCCCACGGGTGCAATTTCACACACTGCAATACCACCTTTGACATGTAGGGTGAAAAGTCAACACACACCATGTCTCAAAATTCAACCACATGGGGACAGATTTTTTTATTTATTTATTTTTTACAAAAAAAAAAAAAAAACTTCACCAGGCATATTAGCAGGCTGCTTCCTATTGATTGCAATGCTTGTGCCTGTGGGGACCAGGCTTTAGTCCCCACGGGTAAAATGGTCCCCACAAGGTGAGTGAATTGTCACTTTGTGGACCCCACCAGGGCATAAAAACGAGAACACACACACACACACAAAATCCTTCAAGCAATATTAAATCTACAAAAGCAAAGATTTTCAACCTGGTACATTATGGTTGATGGCTGAATCAAAGAATGAAATTATAAACATATCTGAACTTTAATAAGGCAAGTTAGTGATGCCAGGACATCATATTTTAGCAATCTTATTCACCAGAACAAAAACAATCCTAAAGTGTTATTTAATACTATCAGCAGTATTGTATCTCCCCCAGTGCACCATGCTTCATTAACCTCAAACAACAACTGTAACATGTTCCTCAGGTTTTTCATAAAGAAGGTGATGGACCTGAAATCCAATTTATCTCCGAGCTCCTCTACTTTTCAAGATGAGCTTTGGTGTTCTGAGTCATTTTCTTCTTTTGTTCCGATTACTTTAAATGACCTGACCTTATTAATAAGTTAAACTTTCTACTTGTTCATTGGAAATATTACCCTCCTCTTTTCTTGTCCAGACTCTAGCTTGTATTGGCCCAACAGTGTTGACGATAATTAACAACTCCCTGAACAAAGGGTTCGTCCCATCATATTTCAAAACAGCAGAAGTGGCCCCTCTCTTAAAGAAACCTAATCTTGATTCTGGCTCCCTTTCCAACTTCTGTCCCATTTCTAAACTGCCTTTTCTCGGTAAATTACTTGGAAAAAGTTGTAGAAACCCAACTCAGATCCTGGTTCTGTCAGTTACAGGTCTCTGACCCCTCTCAGTCTGGTTTTCTAAAACATCACTCCACTGAAACTGCTCAAGTAAAAGTCCACAACGATCTGTTAATGGCTGCTGATGAAGGAAAATGGTCTGTGTTGGTCCTGTTAGATCTTAGTGCTGCCTTTGATACCGTCGACCATGCAACCTTATTAACCAAGCTGAAGGTTCTGGCTGGTATTTCTGGCTCAGGGACTGGCTCACATCATACCTATCTCACAGAACTTTCTGCATCAAGACAGACAGGTTATCGTCTGATTATGACCCCTTAATTTGTGGGGTGCCACAAGGCTCAGTTCTGGGTCCACTTTTGTTTTCCTTTTATATTATCCCACTTGCCGGCATTATTCAATCCTTTTCTGATATTTCCTATCACATTTATGCTGATGACACTCAATTGTATTTTTTGTTTAGACCACACCAGCTGGATAAATTGGCCAATGCTTGTCCTGTATCAGTGACTAGCTCGCCAGTAACATCGTGGTTTTAAACACCAGTAAGACAGAGACTTTGATTACTGTTCCCAGTCACCTTCACCCAAAAATCAATTAGAAAATTGCCTCTTTTTGCACAGTAGCCAAATCAAAAGAAAAAATCTAGGAGTCACATTTGACTCATCATTAGGCTTTTGAGTCTCACATTAGGGCTATTCCACATTCTTGTTTCTTTCATTTAAGAAATGTTTCTAAAATATGACCTATGGTCTCCAGAGTTGACCTAGAGAAAATGATTCACGCTTTTGTGTCATCGTGTCTGAACTACTGTAATGCCCTTTTTACCTGCCTGGACAAGTCTTCTGTTTCATGTCTACAAACAGTACATAACGCAGCTGCCAAACTTCTCACCAAATATTGTCACATCACCCCGGTCCTATATTCACTACACTGGCTCCCTGTCAAGTTTAAAATCCATTTCAAAGTTCTTGTGCTGACGTACAGAGCTTTGAATGGTCAGGCTCCTCTGTGTCTTTGTCATCTTCTAACCAAATACTCTGCTGCTCATGGCCTTCGTTCTCAGACTCAAAATCTCTTGGTTGTTCCACGTACATGGCTGAAAACTAAAGGGGACAGGGCCTTTCAGACAGTGGCTCCAAGGCTGTGGAACAGTTTGCCCCTGCAGCTTCATTCTGCTGATTCTGTGGAGGTTTTTAAAAAGCAACTGAAAACACTTTTATTTTTCTAGGCTTTTAGGTCATGATTTTATTGTGCTTCTTGAAGTTCTTATGATTGTTTTATTCTTTGTATATTTTAGCATTGATTTTATTGTACAATGCTTTGTGATTTTATGTCTGTGATAAGCGCTCTATAAATAAACTTTAC